GGTCGCCATTGCCGGGCCGGCCAGCCGCCCGCTCCCCGGGGCACCGTGTGCAGAGACTGAGAAACACCCGCCGCCCCGGCGTGCCCCGCCCACCCCAGGCGTCCCGGGGGAGTCTCCGGTGACCACCCCCCTGCACTGAGGGCCACCCAGCATCGGGCTCGCGTTCCGCCATGAGCATGGTAGCCAGGCACAAGCTTGGCACCCTTCAGACAAGCCACCTGCCCTGCACCGCACAGGGGCGCCCAGACAGACTCCTGGGCCGGCCCCTGATCCGCCGTGTGACCTTCTGGGCCTCAGTTTCCTCCCCATTCCATGAGGACACTGGAAGTTTGGTTCCTGAGCCCCTCGCCCTCGGACAGTTCAGAATCCTGCAGCCCAGGGAACTGCCCTTAAGCGGGAAGTCAAAAGAGAAAGACTCCAGCCCGGGCAAGGGTCAGCAGGTGGCAAGAGAAACAGTATGGACGTGGATGTGAGGATGGGACAGGGTGGACAGGCATGTCCTGAAGTTCTGTACTCAGACAAAATCTCTGAGGGGCTGCTGGGGACAGACACGCCATCCAGACTGGCCCAGAGCGCAGGCTGGGACAAGAGCCCTTCCCTAAACTGACCGGGAGGAGTTTCTGGAGTCTCTGCACCGTGCCCACCTGTGCTGGGCATCCTCTTGTTCAATCTCCCAGAGGCTCTGGGAGCCCAAAGGCTGTTCTCCTCAGGTTACAGATGGGAAGACTGAGGCCCAAGCAGGCAGCGGCTCACCAGGATCGTGAGGCTGTCTCCTGCCCTGTCTCTCAGGACCGAACCCCCAAACCCTCCCTCTGACCTATGCCCTCATACCTTGTTCCACCAGCTTTTGGGGCCAACTTCGTCCCAGGGGCCCCCATGGGGCAGGGAATTGGCTCCAGGGCCCAGGCGGCAGGACTGGGGGCTGGTGAGCACTCGTGGCCAGGGTCGATGGGCCTCTGCCGGCAGCCAGAAACAGGACCAGAGCAAACTCCAGGCTCTTGGCTTGGGGCTGGGCTCTGGGTCCTGGGTCACCTGGACAGGGGGCCGCCGGGCGGCAGGACGAACTCGCTGGAAAGCACTGAGCTTTTGCACCTGTGGCATGACCACCGCAAATCGCCCAGGGCCCTCCTGGCGCCGCTCACCCGCCCTGGCCAGGGGCCCTGGGGCCCCAGTGGGTGCCAAGGGGGCTGGGACACTGGGCAGTGTTCCCCAGCGGCGCCATGGTGGCCACGTGGCTCTCATCTTATCACACGTGGCCAGTGGGTAGGAGAGGCTGAGCCTTAGCGCCTTGCGCTCTGGCGGGGAATCCTTGGGGGGTGTCGAGGTCCAGGGCTCAGGCTCTGCTGGTGGCTGAAGCTCCCCCAGAGTGGCCTCTTCTTCCGGCTTCTCAGGGATCAGGCTGGCTGATTTTACCAATTGTCCAGGCCCTGGGTCGTGGTATCTACCCAGGAAGACACTGGTCAGGTCCGAGGCTGCTTCCTCAGGCCGGGAGGCAGGGCACGGCACAGGGCCCACGTCCTGGAAGAAGGGGTTTTCGGGCACAGGGGGTGGCCTGGAAAAGCCACGGCGGCTGCCTGCACCTCCTGGCCAGGGTGAGGGTGGGCGCCGTGGGCGCGGCATGTCCACGTCCCAGCTGGGGGCCAGTGGGGGCACCGTCCAGGGTGTGTCTGAGTCCTCAGACTCGCGCCGGCTCTCCCGGGGCTCAGGGGCGGCTGCCGCCACGGGCCAGGAGCCAGCGCTGGGAGGCGGGGGAAAGGGCTGGCGCACCCGCGGCTTCACGGCCCTGGTGGGCGGCTCACTGTGGCGGCGCCACGCGCGC